TGAAGATATTCCACCTGACGTTTGAGCTGGTCCAGAACCATTTCTGTGCTCAGAAGCCTCACCTCCGTCTCCTCACCATTCTTAGATGGATACCTCTGCTTGGCTGCAGAGCAGTCTGCCTCTGTATGGTTCTAACTCCTGAAAGGAAACATCGAAGCTCTGGAAGCCTCAGGACTTTGTTGGAAGTCTCCCTTCTTAGGATTGCTTCTTGTTTACAGCTTTTATTTTGCTGCAGTATTGACAAGAATAATTGAAATATAATTTTTAGTTTTCCCTTAATGTCTAGAGTGCCAAGCTGTTCTACTTTTCTGGAGTGGTGCATGGAGAAATCAAAATGAGGAAACTGACAATCTGGGCCATTTTTATTACAGTTATGAAGTTTAGGCCTCTCACATGGCAAACTTCTCACCCTTATATCCTGGCAGACAGGTAAAAAGTGATTGTAAACTTTTTCTTCATGGGTCATATATTTCAAAGTTAAAAAGGCTAGAAAAAGAACAGTGATAGAATTTATGTTTTGCCTATTTGAATAGTGGGGATAGAAGTGTAGTTGATGGAAAATGTCTATTGCTCCAAGATGCTGTGCCTTTGGGAATAAATTATGAGGTATTTAGGAAAATGGGAGGACTTGGAAGCACTTAAGGCTACAGGATGTGGCTCCGTCCTGTGTTCAGCGTCAGTTTTCAGTGATGCTGCCTTGTGTCCATGTGCTTGAGTTCTTCGTGTGTGCCTTCAGTTTCCTTCCTTCGTGCTCTTTCTCATGTGGTTTTCTCATCCTGGAATACCCTTTTCCACCTACCAGAATCCACATCATAGTAAAAATCCCAGAGTACAGGCCTGCCCTCTTTTCCAGAAAGGGATTTTCTGAATATGTTTTTCACTCTTCCCTGACCCCAGGTGGATATCATCTCCCTGTCTAGTGTTATGGAATGAATGTCACTTTTAGCCTACAGTGGTATGTCTGCCTCTTTTCCTCTGGTGGATGGTGAATGGTGCTTCCTTATTTCTGTATTTTCTGGTTTTCTAAACGACGTGCTTAGCGGACAAGAGTGTGGTGAGTGATTGAAACAAACCGAGAGGATAAACAAACAAACATCAAATGTGACCAGAAGGTGTCACTTTATGGTAAAGAAAAGTGCACTTAAAAATTAAAAGGCAGATTCACATGCCAGGTATTGTCTTGTTATTATAACATGTTAGAATTATACATAGGATTCTTGGGATGGCTTGATTTCTCAGAAAAACTGAAATATGACGAAAAAAGGGACGATGGCCTTGCTGGAGGTTTGAAAAGTAACCCAGCGATGTGTAGGCCTGCAACTGTGTTATCAAATCCATCTTCTCCTGTAGCTAGAGGGGCACTGTTTCAGTTTGGTGCAGTGCCGTTCTTTAGTGAAATGTTTTAAGCCCTTGGACTGTGGATCATTTTTACCCCCACAGTCAACAGTAGATACTTACTGACTTCTTGTCAGCGGAAGCTGGCTTTTTAAAAGGGGCCTTTCTTCTAGGGGTATGAGAGACTTCACCGTGAGCGATGTCAGTTTCCTCGCAGACCCTTGTGTCTTCCTGAACAACAGAAGAAGTTCTGTTTAGATGAGAAGGAGAAACTGGTTTATGTACCTCTTTCTGAAGTTGGGGGTGTGCTGTATGACAAAGACACTGTCTATGTTGACCTTGGTGGCAGCCACAGTTTTGGGGCATCAGTGAGACAGGATTCATTGCTCTGAACTCTCATTCTTCTTTCTGAATCTATTTTTTAATCACAAAAAGTAACGTACTCAGCTTTTATTTATTGAAGACTTTTCTCTTGTACTTACGATAAAGACCCAAATGCATATTGTAAATCTATAGAATTAAAAGAATACTTTTTTTTTCATTGTACCAAGCAGAAGAGCCCTGTCCTCCATGCCTCCTTGATCCATGGCCCCAGCACGAGCACTGCTGCCGGTGTGGCGCCTGCACGGCCCATTGCCATTTCTACAAAATCAGTGTGCTTTCCAGCTCTCGTTGGTCCTTTTCTTTTTCTCATTCATGGTGGTCTCCTCCTCTGTATTTTAAAGTGGGTTTCAAATGTTTATTTGTCAGTTCTGAAGTTGAATTGTATTGGGTTAAAATCAGGGTTACTTTAAAATGTTAGAAAAGCTAGCATTGTTGTACCATTGGAACTGAGGTTTTTCTAGCTAGGTGTTTAGAATATCAGGTTATATACTCCCAGAACATTGGAAAAGTTTAATGGAGATGGGGATCCATTTCAAGGTCTCACTTTGTCTCCAGGCTGGAGTGCAGTGGCATGAACTTGGCTCACCGGGGCATTGAACTCTCAGGATCAAATGATCCTCTCACTTCAGCCCCCCAAGTAGCTGGGACTGCAGGAGTGCAGGAACTTTCAGCCTGTCTCCTGTGTCCTTTCAACCACTCCTGGCTAAATTTTTTTAACTATTTTCTAAAGATGAGGTGTCACTATGTGGCCCAGGCTGGTCTAGAACTCCTCAGCCCAAGGAATCCTCCCGCATTGGCCTCCCAAAATCCTTGGATTAGCCTAGTCTATTATTGCTGTATTCCAGCTTACCCATCTCTTATCATATGATTTTTAGTTGTTCCTAATTTATGTTTTTATAATTTTGTATATTGTGCTATGTTAAACACCTTGATGCAGTTGTGTTTCGTCCTGTGATTTTAGCCTCCTGATGATTCTGTGTTATCAGTTGTGGCACTGGTGACTTGAAATGGATGTTCTTCCTCTGTCAGTCCCCCTATGTCTGTTAGCTGGCATTTTTAACAAAGAACTTTCACTTCTTCCCTTTATTTTCGGTATCACTGGTGACTAATGCACTTTTATTCCATGGGTTATTTTCTATCACTGTCATTGTTCTTTCTGATGCCTGTGCTGTCCTAGATTCAGCTGCAGGAGCCTTCAGCCTGTCTCCTATGTCCTTTCAACTGTCTCTGTTAGTCTTTGAGCATGTCTTACTTTCTGACAGAACCAGAGGATCCAGGCTCATTTTATCTTCTTTCTACTTTGGGCCTGGAATTAGCCATTTCTCTTAAGGATCATGTATTTTTAGCTTAGAAATTGATGAAATTTCCAAAAGATCTACAAAACACTAACTTCCTTTTTGAGCAATTTTCTTCTAAATTTAGATTAACCTTTTAAAAGGGTTATTCATTTATTCTCTGTATATACTTTTCTAAAGTGTGGTATTAGGGAACCATGCCTGAGTTTGCGTATTAACTCTTCCAGTGTTTATCAGATCATTTTTTACCTCTGCTATGTCATCCTAAACAATTCTTTGACATTTTCTATTTCTTTGTATTTTTATTGACCTTATTGTCATTTCTAGATTTGCTGATGAACCTGCAAATTGAATTCGTTTGCATTTCCTTGGTAATAATGTAGGCTGTTTATGCCAAAGGAAGAAAAACAAATGGGCTTGAAACTGATCAAATGCGATAGAAAGCCATTTTTGCAGATGAAGATGGACCTGGAGATAGTGATGTTGAAGAAAATGAAATTTCTGAAGATGACAGATTGGAAACTGTCTCAAGTGATGAGGAAGCAGAAGAGGAGGAAAATGCTGAGGTGACTGATCAGTATATGACTGCTAAGGGCATCAAACGAGGGAAGCTTGAGTTGGAAGAAGACAGTGAAGTAGATTTGCCAGCATTTGCTGACCGTGACGTTGAGCTTGAGGGGAGCTCAGCAGAAGGGGAAATGGAATAAGCTGGGGAAAGCAGTGAGGAAGAGGACTGCACTGCAGGAGAGAGGGGCATTTCAGGATCAAAGACTGTTGGAGAAGGTAGTAAAGCAGAGGTGTCACAAGCTAATCCCCAGAGTGATCCTGTAAATCTGGAGAAGTCTTTGTCGATGAAGAAAGCAGCCCTTACCTCTTCGTCTCTGGGCATTGCACAGCTGACGAGGCATTTGCATCTGAAGATGAATCTGAAGAAAGCTCTTCATTCAGTGCAGAGGAAGAGGACCTGGAAAATGAGGACACTTTTAGGAAAAAGGTTTCAGAGCCTTCTCAAGTGGGCAGTGGTCAGAGCCTCGGGTGAAGAAACTTAATTGACGAGACCAGTGTTATAGAAGATTTACTCAAAGAAGAAGAAGATTGCAAGGAAGAGAAGAAGGAGTCCACAGAAGCCTCGGGTAAGCTTAAATTTAGTTGGTTGCTGCTATGAACTTGACTCTCGAAATGGTACCCAAAGGAATGTCTACATTTGGGGGTCTGTTGATTTTGAGATTTTGGTAACTGCGAAATGCTGCATTGTGGATGGATCTCGGGGGAGGGGAGACACGTAAACAAGTCTAACTGGAGGTTGACATTCCTCATTTCGGGTGCCCTCAAGTGGAAGGAAGACCTTTCCAGAAAGGCACTGAGGCCTTTCAGAGACAGCAACAAGCAGCTCCAAACCTCCGAAAGCTTATTTATGGGACAGGCAAAGAATTCTGGCTCAGAGCTGGAAACATTTCAGTTTCTCTGATTATTTTCTAAAAAGGAGATAGGGAATTGGTTGGAGTATTGGGCTGGTATTGTTGACATCCATCATTGCTGGCCGTCACATTTCCTGTTTGGCAGATGTCTTTAATCATCAGCTTACAAGGACCACACATTGGTCTTGTGAAGTACACTTCTGGGTTTGCTGTAAAACTCGATGCAAGTCGTGTCCATTGCATCATGTCATGTCCCCTTTTAAAAAGTCACTCATGAGAAATTTTTTGTAGAATTTAGTGCCAGAAAAATATTTCTGCCCATAAAAGTATTTATTTGCTCCTTTCTGAGAATGAGAGCCCTGTATAACACATTTTGTTCTCTTTTGCCCTTGTCCTCTGATTTTATGCTTTGTTAAACATACCTATATGTTCTTTGTGGTAGAATTAATGCCAAAATAAAGATAGAGTGGTGAACTTTACATTGTGTTCCCTGGTTACTTCACGATGAGATCAAGGCCACATGGTGAGACACTTGGGCTCGGCACAGTGAATTGGGAGGGTTGTTTGGCACTGATTTTCGTTCAGCTTTTGGCTAGGTACTCTCAGTGATGAGAGGCTCAACGCTCTTTAGAGCTCTTCTTTAATAATTGAAAGCTCTGCTTTTAAATGTCCCTTCCCTCCTTGACCCCTAGTATTCTAAGTCCTGCTCAACTGCTTAGCTGCTGCCATGCAGGAGTGCAGGAACCCCCACACATGTAGAGCAATAGCTTCCTGGCCTCTCTTTACCTGTAGCTGACCTGCCCTCTCAGTGCCTGACTCACCTGTGGCCATTGCTGTAACCACCACAGACAGAGGCCCTTGGTTCCTGAGTTGGAAGAATCGTGGCCTAACTGGTTGAAAACAATGAGTCCTCCAGAGCTGTAGGTTTTGTTCTCACTTTTCTGCCATGGTGTTCTCTTTAGTGACAGAAGATAATGAAGAAGATTATGATACCTGAGAAGAGCTTGGAGGGTTGTTTCGTGTCAGCCAGCCTGACAGCGTGGAAGCACAAGGCCGACTCTTTGGACTGCTTCAGATTTCTTGTGGAGGTGCCCCATGACTGGGATTTAGAGGAGGTAAGGCTGGGTAATACGTTTGATTTATTAGAGAGCTGTTCTAGAATAAGATTATCTGATGTCAATATTCCGTAACTGTTGTTGGTTTCTTATTTTTATAGGATGACAGGTCATCCTCCCAGTTACTGTGGTGGGCAGTTCATGCATTCTAAGCAATAACACATTCTGTGTTTAATTCATTGCACAGCCCACAGAGGACAGGTTCAGCTTCCAGTATGAACAGTAGTGCCAATGTTTATTTTGAAGCATCACACAAAAATTTTTATACATCTGATGTATTTTGTGTCTTATCACTAGGATATGCGTAGCATCCCTGAGTTAACATTTATAGTTTCTGCTATTTGTAAGCATCCAGAAATCTGTGATACCTGTAAATGTTCTTCCTGAGCTCACCGCTTTGTAGTCACACTGGAATTCATTCAGTACTCAAATGCCACACAGCTTACCCTCTTCTTAGGCCTTTTCTCTTTCTCTCTCTTTTTTGAGACATGGCCTTGCTCTGCATTCCAGGCTGGAGTGCAGTGGCACGAGTGTATGGCCCAATGCAGCCTCGACCTCCTGGGCTCAAGGGATCTTCCCACCTCAGCCATCAGAGTAGCTGGGACTATAGGCACGAGCCACCAAGCCTGGCTGCTGTTTGCATTTTTTTGTAGAGTCAATGTTTCACCGTGTTGAGTTAGTCTCAAACACTAGGCTAGAGTGATCTTCCTGCCTTGCCCTCTCAAGAGTGCTGGGATTACAGGAGTGAGCCATTTCATCACCCGTTTTCTCTATATTCTCTTCTGGAATGTTCTGATCTTCCAAAGGCTGTCCTCTTTTTTGTCAATTCAGTTTGGCTTAGGTGTCACTTCTCACAGAGGCCCAATTGCTCTCATTCTGCGTATTGTAATTTTCCAGTTAACACTTAATGCTCTTTATGAGATTTCATTTAACCATTTTGTAATGGTGAAATTTAATACAGATACAGAAAACCAAGTAAAAATAATTGTTTAACTTAATGGGTTGCCAGAAAGTGAATACCCCTGTACTCAGCACTCAGGCTGGGAAATCAAGCTTTGCTGCTTGATTACGACACCAGCCAGGGTCCTCTTCCTCCCTGTGGAAGGAGTTGTGGTCAAGCCTCTTGTTGCGACTCTTTTCTTTTCTCCTGGTTTGCTCTTCCATGCGTCCATAAGCATCGTAGTTTACTTTTACCTGATTGTCATTATGCATTTTCCGTCTGTCTTTTAAAATCGTTAGTCAACAACCTTCCTTCCCATTTCTTTTTTTTTTTTTTGATTACATTTTATTTAAAAAGCCAAGTCGTTGGTCTGTAGAGTTTCTCATGGTATGGATTTTGAGGATTGCTTTGCATCCCTCTGCAGTGTCTCAGGCCCTCCTGTATTTCCTGTGAATGGGTACGGAGCATTACTGATAGAAATTCTGTGATGACTGGAATGTATATCCAAGGTGTGGGTTGTGGCTGCTTGTGGCTACTGGGCACTTTAAATGTGGCTAGTGAGACGGGAGAACTAATTTTTAAATTTTATTTAATCTTAATTAAGATGAATTTAAATAGCCACATGGTTGTATTTACCTGATGGATGAAACATGTAGCAGTTGGATAGGATTTAAATTTGATTTTTATTTTTCAGCAAAACTTCTTCCCAGGTGGTGGTGTTTTCTTATTGGGAGGCATATAAAGACCGGCTGTGTCCTTTTAATGGCATGAGATGGAGAGATGGTCTAATCTGCCACACACTGCGATACACTGGGGCAGTGGCCAGTGATTTGAACTTCGTGGCACAGATGGAAAATTCCAGGTTCTCTTTGTGGTAGGCAGAGGCCTCAGTTTTTAAGAAACTCCCCAGCTTCACCCCTGCCAATGAGGACGTTGATTGAGGATATTCCTATCAGTTTGAAGTAGAAGAGATTGTTTCTTGATGTCGAATTTCAGGTGAGGAATCTAGCTCCTGCATATCATGGTTGTGGTGCTTGGGGTCACAGGTCTAGAGAGCACTGTCTGAAATGGGGCTCAAGGCAGTAGCTGTGAAAGACCCCTGGGATGTTTTCTGCTCCCCTCTCTGTATATCCCCTGGAGGGAGATCCCATTAGTCATTATG